GTCATTGAACTGATTCAAATTGTAAAGTACAAAAATCTAAAAGGCAACAGCATCAGAATATAAAAGGAAGAAGAAGCGGCAGCAGAAAATTCAATAAACATAAATTTCACACTCGAAATACAAACAACAAAACAAAGTCAATAGTATTAGCATCAATGATCATATTATGAGACTGAAAGAGAGCACCTGGGAAATTTTAAGTCAATAGTACTGCATTTTAATTGTCACATAGACATTTGCCGCAAAAAGTGATCATCAAATTTGTCTCAATGAATTGTTGGTTTTCATCGAGAGATAAATACGAAACAAGGGGATGGAACGAGGCATACGAGCATAATGAAATTTGTTCCGGTTACTTACATTTGTTAATGCTCATTGTTTGCCAAAAAAAAAAAGTATGAATCTCTCCAGCAGCAGCATGAAATTGATGTTTACCGACACAGATAATAATTTTTACGAAATTTTTTTGTTGTCACAAATTACAAAACTTTAGTGACAAGACAGAGACTGACTTTAAAATGATTTATTGCAGTTCAATGATCTACCATAATATAAAAAAGGCAGTATTGTTATGATGTTGACGATTATGTTTGGTCGAGAATCCAAGAATCGAAAACGAGAAAAAAGTAGAATTGCTTTATTGGGTCTTGACTTCTTATCAGACATTGTACTCGATCGGTATATTTTAAAATGTTGTCCACAAGGCGGGTAAGCTGATAATATAATTTTACCTGAGCAGCAGACACAAAGTTGCTTTTTCCAAGTCAGTGGCGCAGCTATTAGACTCCAAACGAGGCTAAATCAGATAAAATCACATCTGCAGCAATTACCCTCGATGCTACACTGTCTTAAGTGGATACTAAGAAACTACAATTGCAAAGTAGCTGCCTGTTGGATCTAAGCATGTTTTTCCCTGGGCAGCCATATAGACAACACTTCAATGTGTTCAGATCGGAGGTATAATTGAAAAGAAAACCAGTTTTTTATGCCAACCATATTCATATTTCATTAGTGCATTCAACCAACTCATTTCCATATTTTTTCATGCTTCGATGCACAAAACTTCCATTACCAACTCTCGTCTCATTCAAATGTTGCTTATTCCATACATAAAAAAACTATTAACTGCTTGATGTCTGCTAGATAAATGAAAGGAGGTGTGGTTTGGTGTCTCATGCTTATTATAATTCCTCGGTTATTTTTAAAATTTTTTTCAAAAAGCGCACATAATAAAAGAAAATTTACATAAATTTATGTATGTTATTCAGCATTCATTGGCTCAGTCTTTTTTTATGGCACTCGCTGAATAGTTTTGTGTGTGTGTTTGTAGCGACTGATTTTGAAGTGAATAAAATATTCATTTAGTGATCTTCAACTCTATTTTGTCATGAATTTATTTGATATTTAAATTTGAAATGTTTATGGCTATTTGTTCTTATTAAGCATTTTGCTATGGCTGATTTTGTAAGTTTTATAATGAAAATTATAATTTAATTTTGAGACTGGTAAAGAGATGAGGCCAGGAGCCTAGCCAGAAATTTGCAGAGCGGGGGACGAACAAATTTTTTGTAAAGAGAAAATTAGGGGGGGAATTTTTGAGAATTTTCATAAAAATGAAGAATTTTCTGATGAAAAAGTGGGATTTGCTCCAAAAACCTCTTCCTGGCAACGCGCCTGGATGAGTCTACAAGTCTCTACACTAGCTTCCACAGTTTTCATTTATATTACTTTAATACTATTTTAAGCACTTTAAAGTAAAGATTTAAAGATTATAATTAAAATATTCATTATAATATGCAAAATCGCAGGTTCGAATCCAATCACAAGAATATTTCAATAATGATGAAAAACGTTAAATAATTTTTTAAAAAGTAACTTAATGTTCTTTTTTTAATTTTTAAAAAAGCTGATTTGTTTTACTTAAAAATTCCCAAAAACACTTCTTACAAAATTAATACAATTTTCTACTTTATTCCTATTAAAAATCACTGAGTCATGATCATTTTTATTTTTTTTCACAACTCACTTCAATAAAAATATCTTTTCAACTCTTAAATTTTAATATCTGTTATTCAAGGAACCACACAAAAAAAAATAAGTTAAGTTTGCCAATCGCTTGATTTTTTCACATTTTAGAAGTAAAAATAAATTTATGAAGTAAAATTAGCGCTACAATAAATTTTGTGGTAGCTGTCGACAATCGCAGTTCGCCAAGATTTTTATATTTGAACTTTAAAGTGAGATACAGCGAGAATAAATGTAGTAAATGGCTTGTTTGTGATCATTTGATTAGGTCATAATTTTTGATGGTTAATAATGATGTTGAAACTTTGTTTGTAAGAATTTTTCTCGTAGGTAATTAAGAGATTTTTCGTGGGATTCAAGTGGGATTGGTGCCAAAAATAAGTTTTGAATTTGTTAGAGTTTAATCAATAGTTTAATTTTTAAAAAAATATTCAAGACCTTAGTAAAGTCGCGACTAGTATAGACAACTTAGAAATTATTTAAAACAATTTATTCAATTTATGAGCATTGTGAAGATTGAAGATCATTAAAAAGCTACTAGGTTTGTAACTTGATAAATAGCAGATTGCCAATCGAAGTTTAGTAACATAATAAATTTAATACCTAAGTGTCAAAGATATTCAACTTAGTAGATTTAAAATTGAAGCTTTTTCAAAGTCGTGGGTTCGATTCTCAACAATCAATCCAAAATTATTCTTCCATTCAATTTATGTTTCAAAAGATCACACTGCAATTTCAATACTTCTTACTTCGCTGGCCGTACAGATCAATTGTGATCCATGACAGCAACATCAATAATCTGAACAAAAAATCACTTTAAAAACATTTGAAAAATTTCAAAAATATTTTAAGTTCAGCACACAAAAAAATTAATTCCTGATAAGTCAGCCATTTTTTTCAAAGTGATTTTCAATCCATTATTTTATTACATTTGTATATTATATCCTACTAAGTATCAAGTAGAAAACAACAAGAATATATAGTTTCAAGAAGCGAGAATACTCAATAAATTAACAACACAACTACTTGAAGTTAAAGTCCGTCGAATCACTTCAACTTTATTAAATATTGTGTAGTATAATTTTTATTATGTTTAGTTTGGAACTTCCTTCATGTGTTTGTATTAAAAGAAGAACACCGAAAAAAAAGGCACACACAACCCAATCCAATCCAGGGCAATAACAATACAACTATATATGCGAATAAGAAGTCAAGATTCGGTGAGTACACTTAAAGTATAGAATATAATATGATAAATTGTGAGATCAACTCAACTCAACTCCTAGCTTTTAACTTCGTCCGCTACTGCTACTGTTGCCAGTTGTGTGTTATTAAATCTAGCTTGCTTAATTCCTAATAGACTCCACCTCTCTATACTTCTGAACGGCAGAAAGAAAGCAGTGCTTTCCGCTTGCGCTTACTCGACAACACACAAGCACAGAAGAGTGAAAAAGAAGAGAATAATTTTTATGATGTTTCACTGTGACTAGTACAGCCATTCGAATGCATGCGTTAGAGTGAGATGGCAACTGCCCGAAACAACAAAAAAAAAATACAGCAACTGGGAGTTCGTATGTAGTTGTTAAATACACAACCGAAAAAGGGGATAAATTAGTTGTGTAACGAAGTGAAGTGAATAAAAAATAGATTGAAATCAGTATATTTTCGGTATTGGATATAACTAGACGTTCCGCACCTTTTTTTGTGCCTCTCTCACTCGAACTACACGAAGTACTTTTTTATATTCTTTGCTGTGTTTTTTTTTACTTCTTTATTTCAAATGAGCAAAAAAATTTTTATTGTGTTTATGGTGATTAAACATAGTCCGCGACTGGCATTGGATGAAGTGACTTCGTGCTAAAGACACATTTCTTGAAGGTTCATATCGTGTGTATTTTTTTTGCAACTGCTACTGCCTTCATTGTTGTGCGAAGGTTTTTAGTGAAGTGGAACAATTTTTTATATTGTCAAAAAAATAATAATAATACTGAAAGGATAGAATACATGTGAATTATGGAAATGGAATTCATATAGAGAATTACGATTAGTAGTGTCAGTTGTAGTGAATTAATCTTCATGTTCTGTGTGGATTCATGTGATATTAAAGAAACTATAGCAAGAGTTTTTGAATTATAAATTCAGAAGGAAGTTAATTAAGAATTTTAAATAGTGGAATTAACTGAGGAATTCTTGAAGGCAACTCTAGTTTACTGTTTATTAAGCAAACTCTACGACATTAAGCTGCAAATATAGAATTTTGAGGAATTTATTGAAAAGTGAAAGTAAAAAATTTTAAAAAGACACACAATTTGATAGAATTTAAAAGAAAATCATCGAAAATATTGAACAAAGATATAAAAAGTGCACAGCAGGCAACAAAGCTTAATAAGATCGCAACTTCAAAAATCAATTTAAGAAAGAAAGATTAAGTCAGAACTGGCAAATAATCAAACCAAAAGTTTAAATGAACAAAAAGTGAATTAAGGAGTTTAAAACTATTTAACTTTAAAAATTCAAACAATTTTTAAGAAGATCAGCAACAATTAAGATCAAAACAATTCGTTTGGCAAAAGTGACTCTAAATTGTTGGATATGCATTGCAAAAACAAAAGATTAAGAATCAAACAGCAAAAATCTTTCTTGAACAAACAGAAACAATTTAATTAAATCAAACAAAAAGTTAATATTAACTTTATTCGCACTGCCGCATTTAAAACATTAATGTGAATTGAGGAAACAGCAAAAATAAAATTGCTTATAAGGAATGAAATTGTTCGAGGACATAAAAATATAAATTCGTTAATTTAAGAATAAATTATTGACATTAGTATTCTGAATTGTTTGAAATCAGGCAACTTAAAAAGTAGAAATCAACTCTTAAAAGTTTACAAAATTGTTTAATAATTGAAAAGTAAAATTCTATAATTTGAACATCCAGGAAGATCAAGAAAGATTCGAATACTCGACTTATTCTTCAAATCAATCTCTAAATCAATTAAACAACCTTCAAATCATCAAATTAGCTTCAAAATCAACTGAACTTATCTTCAAAAGCTTAATTAAATATTCAAAATAATAAATAATCTGATAAAGCATTCAGAATAATCAAAAAATCCTTAAAAAGTACCGAACAATGACTTAAAACTCCCAAACTATTAAAAAATTCAATAAAAGTCATCAAATCAAACCAAATAAATTAAAAAACAATTTCAAGTCATGGATAATTCAAATTTCGGATCATCACACCTCTCATCTCCAGCCCTCGTCGTATTTTCACAAGCCGCAAATGGATTAAGTGATGCACTCCGATTACAAAGACCATTTCATTCGCAATTACAAGATGCCAAAGATTTGCATCATTTATCTTTAGTGAGCAGTTACGGTACACATTTATTGCACGGTTTCCAACCGCACTTTTTACATCAACATTTAAATCCTGCTGTATCGTCAGCATCTAGTCCATTTGGAAGTGGCGGTGCATTTGTTAAGCCATTTCCATCAAACATTTCTCTTCCGTCTGCCTTTCAACCACCAAAATGTTTAGGTTTCGGTCTTGATCAAGTGAGTATTAACACATCTACGAACATGTAAAATATCCCGGCAGGCTAAATCTAATTATTAAAAGTTCTCCAAATTTAAGGGCTTATTATTTGGCTCGGGTAATAACTCGACAAGTACAGGAGGCGGTGGAAGTGAATCATTTCGTACAGATTCATCAAGTCCAGCCTGTGCCTCATTATCACCACCAGCAAAGGATGAATCCATGGAGGGACATACGAGCGAGGAAGGAGATCGTGATAGAATTTGTAGTCCATCTCGTAGTCCCGAGACACCTGGCTTTCGAAGTGAGTAAATATCTTTAATTTTTTAATGTTCTTAACATGCCGAATATAGAAATTTCGTGCCATTCCTTAATGGAAATTCACTTAACACATTTATGAGAAAACCAAAAAAGAAAAAAATCTCAATGGACTGAAAAGGCACACATGAAATCTCTTCCAGTGATATGGACAACATAAAATGATTTTAGAACTTTTAGTATGTACCTACATCGTCATGTGTGTTCAGGCAGAAGGTCATAAAATCATTTAAGTAACAAGACTAAGTAAAGTTCTTGTTCGGTAACTGATGAAAGGACTTTTTAGTGTGTTTTATTGTTTGCTAAATCCTAAAAAAAATTAGTTTAAAATGTGCATCGTGCTTTGTTCCTAAAATCTCTTCCGATTTATTTGTGTTCATAAAAGTTTTGTTGTTATGATGATGAGATAAAAATGTAGACAGGCAGGAATGGATGTTTGGGATCATGGAGTGATGGTTGGTTTAACTTGTCTGTTGATTCTTTAAATGTTTCTATTAGCTTAATTCGTTATTATTCATTATATAATCGATGTATTATAAGTTATTAAGTTGTTTTGGAGCTCTTTTGTTCGATTTAAATGGAAGTCTTTTGACCATTTATCTCTTCTTTATGAATAGTAAAGCTTGGTGTTCCTTTGGTGTCATCCGAGGTATCAAACTATATATTAGCAATGTTGCTAGTTTACAATTCTTTGGACAACTTTTCAAAAACATACAGTTAATTCTCATGTTAAGACTTGAGTTCGATTCCCTCAAGAGATAAATTACTTAATGATGATAGTGATATCAAACAATGGTACACTTAAGCACTTATTTGCTCATAGACACACTGTATATAATGATCTTTTATTGATCCAGTCTCTGATGGGAATCGAACCCACTTCCTCAAAAGACAGGGTTCCAGATATCCAGTGTGTTGCCTGGCCATTCGGTCATAGATGCATTAAACTTACACTTGCACATTCGTCTATATATAGCTCGATGCCTCAGATTCCAATCTGCTCCAATACCACAGGTACATACTGAAAACCCTGGTTTTGATTACAACTTAATACTTATCCCATTCAAGTTGGTTCCCGTACAACTTTAACACGATTAAAATTCAATAAACTTGTTGAACAAACTGATCATCTTTAGCGACATCATTTTCATTGCCAAAACTGCTCTCATAAATATTAGACATGCACATCTCTATCTCTATTTCACCCTCACATTACAAACTTTTTTTCTTCCTTCCTTTTTACTGCTGTATAATTTATATTGAGAGACTTATGAGTGATGATGTAAACAGTGTGGCAACATATTGCGTGAATCTTCCTAGTGCCATTCAAACAGCTATCTAAATCATATTTCTTCTCCTTTAAGTGCTCACACTTGTATATGTGCCGAAAATAGATGAAACGTTCTGACTCAGATGATTATTATTTAATTCTTTTTTTTCTTTCTCATACAATAAACAAATTTCTTTTTAATATTTTCCATTGTTTAGACTTCATATCCACTTAAATAATTATCATGATTTTTTTTTTACATCTCTTTGGGATTTGTTTACACATTTAAGAGATGAATCTATAAATTATGACATGAAGATCTATTTAAATTATAAGTTAAGTTGTTTGTAATATGAGTTTTTTTTTGGAATGAGAACTCGTGCTGTTGGGATGTAATTTAATTACTTTTATGAGACTTTAATAATTTTGAGATGAAATGTAATTTAATTAATTGGGTTGAATGGAAATCTGGGTCAGAAGACGACTGAGTCATGGGAATAGTTTTGGGTTTTCGGCTTCTAAATGATTGCTGTGAGGTGAAGGTATGAAGGTTTTATTCAGAGCTCGAAGTCGATAGGGTTCGAGTCGACTCGAGTTGACTTCGAGCTCTGGTTTTATTAGATTTTTGGTTTAAAATTAGAATTCTATATCTAAACTAGACAAGATGTGCTTCCTTTAGGTTAAGATTCAACCTTTTCGATAAGTTTTCAGTTCAAATCATAATAAAAAACTCTGAATTTAGGTTATCCTACTTACTTACTGTAAGTAGTATACTCTACCTTTGTAGAGCTAAGGTTTGGAAAAAAAGCTATTCATCTGACTCTGTTGCTGGATCTATCACCCAGTTTGTACAATTTCTCTGTCCGCACATTAAGCTAATATTCTTTCATTACTGTTCTGTGCCAAGTAGCTTTTGTAGCTCCTGAACCTTTTTTCCCATGCGGATTTTAACCAATGCTGGTGTAACAAGAATTAAGGTTATAAAATCTATATATTCCATGCACTTTAATATTAACTGCTGGGCAATTCTCCAGATAAGTTTTTCAAAAAATCATCCGGAGAATCAAATTTTCTCGGAAATTTTCCATTACCAAGCATAACTTTTACATTTAAATCGATCTAAAATGGCAAAAACTATTATATTTTATCTATTTAAGTCTTTGAAAGTAGCCAATAATTAAGTTTTTTCAATTTTTTTTGCAAATTACTGTCAGCAAAAAATGGAATAATCATCCGGAGAATCGAAAATTGAAGAAAAGTAAACACTCATTTTTTATTATGATTATGCAGAAATGTAGTTTTTGAGCTAATCTATCTAACCATAATCATATCACACTCCAATAATTACTATTTAAAGAGAATTTTTGATTCTTCGGTGGATTTTTTTACTGACAGTAAAAAAATTAAGCTTTTATTTTGCAAATCCATGAAAAAAATGCAAAGCAAATATTTCATAAAAATTAAATTTTAGTCTTAATTTAACACTTCATGGTTGAATTATTGTTGATTCAGTAAGAATCAATCGTAATAAACAGTTTAAAGTTGCTTTAAGCAATCAAAACAAAGAAATTGACAAGATATTAACAAAAAAAAAAATTGAAAGTAAACAGTAAATGACTTTGGATTATAAAAGCACTTTTTTCAAAAACTCAACTCATCTGGAGAATTGCCCTGCTGTCAAACAGTAACAACATAAAGGGTCATTTACTTATGACGTCCGATATTAACGGTCATTTTTCAAAAAAAAAACAAAGGAATACCAGGAATTTATATTGTTCTTTACTTGCTATCCCCCCCCCTCCCTTGGACGTCATAAGTGAACTGTCCCAAACTCTACTCAAAATATCAGAGTACAGACAACAAAAGAACATCATTTAACCTTTTACATACTCTTCAATCACTTCAAAATTTCAATTCTAAAACTACACATCTATGTACACACATACTCACCCAAAATAACACATTAAATTGTAATCATCGATTTTTGCCTACACCCGAGGATGACTCGAAAAAACCGCGAAACATTTGGTGGTGATATAAATTTTTCATATGATTTTTCATTTTTCTCTATTCATTCGACTTTAACATCCTGCCACTTTTTGGCTAGTTACGTGATATGAAAGTGTAATTGATAAAAATTATTGAATGTTCGTGATTCTTTTTGAATTCAACGCAGTGTATTTTGTTGGATGCTACACGTTGATACAAAAAATTATTTGAGAGATATTTTATTAGCGATGCAGATCATAAAATGAGTCAAGAATTGAATATTTTACAACAACTTAATTCACTGTCCGTCTGGTTTGTTCCTTTTGTTAAGATATCAGACAATCATTCCTTCGATACAGAGACAATAGTTTGGGAATTGACAGGGACATAAATCATCAAATAATCTTCTAAAAAGTTTTTTTTACTGTGTGTATTAACGAAACATTTATTGCGCAATTTATGATCACTAAAAGGCTTCTAAAAATATTTTACACACTAAAAAGGAATTTAAATACATCATATTGCCCTGTTTTTGTGACTAAATGTTTAAAAGGGGTTGCTGGCTTTGAAATTTTAGAAGATTTAAGAAGTTTTATAAATAGCATATAGAATTTTGTCTTAAAGAGTTCGAATCTTAATAAAATAAAAATTGAGAATAATTTAAATTAAGAATTTTAAGTTGAAAAATTAAATTTAAAAAGATTTTAAACTTTGAAAAATTTCAAAGTTCTGAAAAAAATCTTAATTTTGCAAAATAATTTTTTCAAATTTGAAAATTCCAAATCTAATTCCCCAAGCTAGTCTCCCTTCGTCCAATCCCATCAACATTATATTAGGTTCATGATTCATTGTGCAGAGTTATAAACGCTTCATTCTTCAGCTCATCTCCAACAAAAATAAAAAGCCATTTAGTTTCTGTACCCTTTTTAAGGAACATTAACCTCATAAAAGTATCACCATCTTTCCATCTCACTCACTTGCTTTTCTTCCTTTTTTTGTGTGTCCGAAAAAGATTAGGAAATTGGATCATAAAGCGCCATAAAAAATCTGTTACATTTACACAACTTTTTTTTTCTTCTTCTTTTACGTCTTTCTTTACTTTACTTTTTATTGCTGTGATGATTTGTGAAAAGGATGTGGATGTCTCTCTTTAAGAATGTTGAAATGAATGAGTAATTGTAGACGTAGATGAAGAGATTTGCTGGAAATGCGAAAAAATTGTCTAAGGGGTTAATCGCCTATGGTGTCCATAGAAGGTTTGAAATTCCGATTAAACAATGGAAGTCATTCATTATTGAGTCGACAGTGTTTTGAAATTAGATCTAATTATTGTCATAATTTAATAAAAGTTGTGCATAGCATTAAATTGATTCTATGAAATTTCTTGAGAATACTGAGTTCGAATCTCATCTTACTAAAATATTAGCTACTTGCTCATTCCACAAACTACCTCTAACTGTAAAATACCTCACATCCGATCCAAAAATCCAAATTACTCTCAAAAAATAAATTTTACAGTAACACAAAGTGCAATAAAAAGTAGAGAAAGAAACAGTACTTTTTTTCAATATTTGAGTAAAAGATTACAATAATAAAAATTTATGAATGTGGAGTGTCATAAAAATAAAGAAAGGGTTGAGTGAATACACACGAGAATGTACATACAATAAGTTGTGCATAACTATCTACTGAGCTCGATGAATTTTCAATTTTTCTTTTTCGGGATTTAATTCTTTCCGTTGGGATGATTTTGTTAGGTTTTGAGTGAATGTAGGTTGTACTAGGGTCTAGCTAGTTAACGGTTGAGCTTATTGAGCTAAGGTCAAGCTTGTTAAGGAGCTAAGTTCAAGCTGGTTGAGCTAAAGTCAAGCTAGTGGAGCTAAAGTCAAGCTATTTGAGCTAAAGTCAAGCTATTTGAGCTAAGGTCAAGCTACTTGAGCTAAGGTCAAGCTAGTTGAGCTAAAGTCAAGCTACACGAGCTAGGGCCAAGCTAGAAGAGCTAAGGTCAAGCTATTTGAGCTATGCTCAAGCTAGTTGACCTAAAGTCAAGCTAGTAGAGCTAAAGTCAAGCTAGTTGAGCTAAAGTCAAGCTAGTTGAGCTAAGGTCAAGCTAGTTGAGCTAAAGTCAAGCTAATTGAGCTAAAGTCAAGCTAGTAGAGATAAAGTCAAGCTAGTAGAGTTAAAGCTAAGCTAGTGGAGCTAAAGTCAAGCTATTAGAGCTAAGCTCAAGCTAATTGAGCTAGGGTCAAGCTAGTAGAGTTAAAGTCAAGCTAGTAGAGTTCAAGCCAAGCTAGTGGAGCTAAAGTCAAGCTATTAGAGCTAAGCTCAAGCTAATTGAGCTAGGGTCAAGCTAGTAGAGCTAAGGTCAAGCTATAAAAAAAATTATGAGATCCCAAACCTCATTCTTAGTTTTCCGTCAAAAAAATCATCAAAATCATTAAAAAACTAACCTTTAAAATCAAATCACAGCATCACCTCCACAACAAAACTCACACATTTCACCGCAACATCCCCAATATTGTTTTTATTTCGGCCATCGGAACAGATTGAAAAAAGAATTTTCAGGTATTTCACGTAACCACAGAAAACAATTGTTCGGCGTCATATTAAAAAATGCATTAATTGGATCGCGAACAACACACAATAATTTCATATTTTTTCCCGTTCATATACTAACCAGCAATATCAGCAGCGGTCTGAAAATTGATGAAAAAATAATTATGTCTCATTGAACAAAAACTTTTTTTTTTTTCGTGTCGTAGCTGGAAAAAAATTTAATTGACGTGAATTTTAATTCCTTTTTTTCTCATCTTGTCGTTTAGGGATTGGTCCGAAAAAGCCAATGCAAATCAACACACAGTCAGCAACAGGTCACAACTCATGTCCAATTTGTGGCATTCAATTATCACTTGATGAGCTAGATCAGCATTATTCATCGGAACTCCAACGCTTAGCTAAACCAAACATGTACAATGAGAGACAAGAAATCAGACGAACGCTCAGCATGGAACTGCATGCTGTTCAGGGCAGTTTACAGAGTCGAACTAGTCGATGGGAGGTTTGTGCTGCACACTTTTTAATTAAACTTGATAATTTTTCATTGTCACATTTCACAGACATTTCAACGCATTCGTGTAAATCGTCAAGGGCGATTGCGAGGTAAATTGCGTAAGAGGAAATTTGAGGAGGAGGCATATGCGAATATGACATGTCAATCATGTCCAGTTTGTCACGGTCGTCTGCAGAGAACGCAAGAGGAAATCGCACAACATATCGAGGAGTGTGTACGAAAGGTAGGTAAATTGTGGCTTTTCAACTTTGATTATATTTTTGTAAATGATATGGGGGAGCTGTTGCAAAATATTCATTATTTAAGCTGGAATTTCAAATTTTATTTTCTAAGGGAAATAAATTATTTGAAAAATCAAATGCAACCAATTTCATGTTTGTATTAATAATAATAATAATGTGTGAAGGGCCCAGCCTTTCAGCTGAAGGCACTGCGACTCAAATTAGAACAGAATCTATTGTACCACACCCTTTAGACCTACAGTTTATAGTGGGAACCGAACCACTTGCAAGTTCTGCACAATTCAAAGACACGATTGCGTCTAAAAGACCTGATGTACCCTGCAATATATCTAGTCACACTTGTGTGCGCAAGATGCCGTAAGGAAGTCATCCAGATGCTAGTATATCCTTGTATACCTAGCAAAGGAAGCATATTCTGTGCCAAAGACCTCAAAACTACACCCAACACACGAACCGAGCTTCGTAACTAGAACGGTGAAATGGAAAAAGAGCTTCGAAAATTAGGCATGGCCTGGGATTAAACCCAGGACCTTTGGCACATAAGGCCAACGCTCTACCATTTAGGCCACTGATGCCATTTCACCGCTCATGTGTATCTTTGAATAATTCAAATTATTTTTGTCAGTTAAAAATTAAATAAATTTGAACAATGTTAATATTTTATTTCAATCCCTTCATCCCATCCACAGCAAAACTCGCATTCTTCGCAGATGCAAGATGAAGATGAGACGGTAGACGTCGAGAGCTATGGTGAGGAGACATCAAATGGTGCTATCAACATGACATCCCAGAATCATCATTTCAATAACAGTAACAATAATAATAATAACAACAATAACAGCATAAATAATAACAATATTAGCAATCAAGTAATAAATAATAATAACAATAATAACAACAATACAATCATGCATAGTAAAATTGATAAAACAACTCCAGAAGATCATCACACGATAACATCACTTAATCGAGCCGCCACAAATTGGGATCATAAAAGTCGCATGTCATTAAACATGAATTGCACAACACAAATAAATGAGAATGCAATAACTCGTGTGACGCCAACAAGCAGCGATCAACGTATTGATGTGGAATATGAGTTGGACAATGAGCGCGATCAGAGTCAAGAGCGAATGAGTGATAATGAGGAAGAGTTGATTGTCGATAATACCGATGATGAGAATGACTGTAACGGATTGAAAAGGAAGCTGCCTCAGCAACCACCGTCGGCTCAGCGAATTGTGAATGGATTGCGTGAAATGAAAAAAAGGTAGATAATTGATTTTCTTCGGATTCTAGTTATTTGTTGTGCATGAATATTAATATTATTTTGGAAGTGATAATGGGGTTTGGATATTATTATATGGGTTGTAGATTTTTAGGTTAAACACTAGAATCAGCCAGTTTGTTTTTAAATCCAAAAAATCCCTGACTACACCACTGAACCCACCAGAACTTATCCAAACCTCATCATCTTCTCACACATTTTAAATTAATTTAAAAACCCAAAAAACTCCCCAAAATTAACGACAAAAAATCTAATTAAGATTTTACAACAGCACAGAAGAAGCAACATCATCAGTTGAAATTGATTCAGCGACCGAGTCAAATAATCACACAATAATCAGAACACCAAACGACACAACACCAAATTCTGACTCATATGTGAGTACATCAGAGACGATTGAGCCACCAGCATCAAAGGCACAGGTTTTAGAAGAGCTTAAAGCTCGCATTCGCGAATTGGAGGGATCACCGCATTATAAATGCTTCATGTGTAAGGTTAGAATTACAGTTCGAAAGAAGTGATAGAATTTTAATTTAATTTTTTTTATTATTATTCGTTCTCGTTTTTAAAATGAATAGGAAAAATGTAAAACATTCATCATCTCAACAATCTGTGGTCATTATCTCTGTGAAGACTGTTGGATTACTGTTTCTGTAAGTATGGGGATTTGCGTTTCTGGGAATTTTGACTAAGTGTGAATGATATATGAATTTGGGGTCGTTCACTTATGACGTCCGAAATTAACGGTCATTTTTCAAAAAAGAACAATGGATTTCCAGGAATTTCTATTGTTTTTTTTTGCTGAACCCCCCACCCCCCCCCCCCCCCTCTCCTAGACGTCATAAGTGAACGGCCCTTTTACTGTTGATTTGGGATTGTTTATGAATGACGTAAAGCCAAAACGATTTTGTATTTAAAAGTAAGTAAAGTATGATAGTGAAATTGACAATGCTTTTAATTGCCATTTTTGATCCTCTGATTTTGTTAATCTATCATTTTTTTAAAATTACTGAACGTCATCTAATAATAACCCCTTCAATCAGACTTCCATGTATCAGATTAAACTATTTCTCAACTGCTTATTAACTCAATCCATAAAACTAAAGTCATAATTTTAATAAATTTATCTTCAAAAATTAATTTTTTATTTTTTATTCATCCACAGGACATCGAGAAGCAATGCCCACGATGTAAAATCACAACATTAAATATCGACTTTAGGAAAATATCATGTTTAAATTAATATCGTAAAGTAACACACAAAATAAATTATTGATCTAGTTAAAGAAATTTTCATTTTTATTATTCATATAAAAAATTTTTGTTGATAAATTGAGTACGTATGAAGGCATGAAAATGAAAAGAAGAAAAGTTTAACGTGCAATAGACATTTCATTAAAAAATTAAATTCATTAAATATGTGTACATAGTATAATTAATAAAATTAGCACAATTTTCTCTCTTTGAGTCTCTCATTTTTCTTTAATATTCATGTACAAGAGCTTTTTCCCCCCACAGCACCCACAAAAAATATTGAAATTAGAAAGGGTCCGTTCAATTATGACGTCCATCAAAAAACCTGATTTTAAGACCCCCCTCTGTCACAAAATTTCTGAGGAAAAAAAATTCATTTATTTGAGCTGTCACAAAATTCTAGACCTCTCCTAAATGTTGGACGTCATAAGTGAACGGCCCGAAGTTAAATGTTACAAAAGAATTGGAGGTTTTGGAGGAAATCTTTGTCAGAATTGATTAGGAATTGTTTAAGAATTTTTATTATGATCCGTCGGGTTTACAATAATATTTAAAATACAAAAGCACAGGGAAGACCTCAGCTATCTTAAATGTAGGAAAAATGGTTGTATGATTACTTATCAAAAGCATAATTAAATGATCTGAACTTCTTGATTTGAAAAAATTTCTAATTGTAGTCTAGAATCTTAAAAAATAATGAAACACGTTGGGGGCCGTTCACTTATTACGTTCGCATTTTAGGGGGAGGGAAGGTTTGAAAAATTGTAACAAAATGTAACATATGGGGGGGGGTCAAGAAGTATGTAACGTTCTAAGTGTCGTCTGTCTTTTAGAAAAAGTTCAGGAAAATAATTTGTTTACAAATTCACACCAAAAACATTTTTTTAAATTTTCCACCTTTTTAATGATTTATGAAAAATTATCAAAATAAAATAAATTATGAACGTTCAGGGGGGGGGGGGTGTGAGTTGTAACATATTGTAACAAGGGGGGGGGGGGTGAAAAAAGTCGTTTTTTTGCGTAACGTAATAAGTGAACGGCCCCTTGAGGATAAAGTTTTATAACTGAGAATCGAACTCATGAACATTAGTTTACCAGCCAAGTATCTTACCATTAGGCCACTGAGACATACAATGTCTTGTGCTAATTTCCTTATATATGTTAAGAGTTTAGCAATTGAATTTTGGATTTTGTTTATGAGTTTTTGATTCTTTTATTTATGATTAGATCTGAGTAATTGCTAGTCTATGTTGCAACTATTAAGTCCTAAACCAGTTGACAACAGATTCAAACTCAGTTCAGCATGTATAGTTTAAAAGACAAAATTCTGCTAACTTAAAACTTATTGAATAATATAAACCTTTGTCCCTTCTGCTTGGAATCAATGCGTCATGAACTAAAAGCAACAAAAATAAGTTCCAAATAACAAAGCTCGATTCCTATATCTTTCAAAATCTCCTCCAAAGCCTCCAAAAAAAACAAAAAGGTTAAAAATTTTATGTATCAAAATGAACAAAAACAAAAAATTAAGAAATAAAGAAAAACAAATAAATTCGATGGAAACAAAAAAGAAACTTTTTCCTTTATTAAATTCCTTTATCAGTCTCTATTTCCCTTCCGTAGCCATTTTATCCCCAAAAAAAAATTTACAAGAAACCTTCTTTAAGGAAAACTTTTCAAGATCGTTGACTTTTCCCATTAAATATTTTACTCACACTGACGCAGACTGTAAGCTGTAAGTATGAAAAGAAATATAAAGTTATCTCCACACTGCCTTTCTCTCTCTGGCGCACTTAAACAATAGGATAAAAAAATGAATGAAAGAAAAAAAAACTCCAACAAAAACTCTTTTTTTTTCTGTATCGTATTATAGCGCAAGCGGAAAATATTGTACGTATATGTGTGGATGCTTTTGTTGAACGTATAGGTGGAGTCTATTAGGAATTAAGCAAGATATCAAGTTGGAACTACATAGAAACAGTATCGGATGAGGTATAAAAACTTAGGATTGAGTAGATTTTAGCTCATGATTTATTGGTGGAATTACTTTGCTTTAAGTGGAATAGTCGAATGACTTTAATGTTTGTTCTTGTTATAAGTTTACATGCTGCTTTATATTTTTTTTGTTCAGGAAAAAGACATTTGACAAAAATAGCTCATATATAATGATTGAAATCGAAAAGTGACTAAGAAATCTAGGAATCGAACCCACGGCATAACAAGAAAAGGTTATATAAACTTCTGGTATGTTGCTTAACCTATAGGCTACAGTTGCTTTTCTCTAGCACTGGCAACTTTGCCTACATATGGCTCCATATTGCATGCTGAGTAAATTTGCCTCAATTGATATCCCCAAACCAAAAAAATCGATCCCACAAGTATTGATGCTTAATAAATTGGAACTTTATTCCTTCAATAATGAAATTCTACAACCAGTAACTATAAACACAATAAAATAACATAATTTACAACATTTAATCAAGTTAAAGTGATTTGATAAACAACAACAAGTCAGAAATAAAAGAAAATTCACGTCTCATATTTTTTTATGCCTGTACAAAGCCTTAAATTATCATAAAAAAATCCCGACAAAAGAAATTGACGAACATCAAAGTTACTTTTTTTGTGTTTTTTTATTCTTCTGACCCTAACATGCAATAAATATGTACATGTACAGAGAAACATAAGCTTACATATGTCCGTAAAAAAATGTATGGACTTATAAAATGTGAAGGAAGCAAGAGAAGAGTCATGGAAGATTATATTTCATAATTTTCATATTTGTATGATAATCACTAGCCAATAACAAATAATATGTGGAAGTGCTGGATGGAAAATTTATATTGATCGTAATTTAATCTTCAATTACATGTGCTGGATTCATATCGAACCCTTATCAATGGGTCAAAAGGCCAATAAATCCCTCCAATCATCTCCTTACTACCCTCATTCCGAAGATGAGTCGAACAAATTTGTTTTCATACAATTTCACAATTTATCATCAAACAATAAAATTGGGATTATCATGTACAATGTACATATTTCTTGCTTCTTTGTATTTTAATAGGATTCACTTCTCTTTTTACAGATGGGATTTTTTTTGAGTATGATTCTTATTTTTTTGGAATAATATTTCGATTATTGGTGATTTTCCTTTTTTGCATAAGTTGTCTTAGCTGTTCACTTATGTGGCATTCATTTATGGCGTCAAATAGGGGGGGGGGGGGGGGGGGGAGGGAGGAAGTCAAGTAAAGAAAGGTAAAGCATTTGTGAATCAAATTAGAACAAAACGACTGTACCACACCCTTTAGACCAACAGTTTATAGTGGAATAAGAACCACCTGCTACCTTTGACACGTAAGGGCAACGATCTACCACTTAGGCTACTGATGCAATTTCACAGCTTCAGCAAGTAAAGAACAATTGAAATTCCTAGAAATCCATTCCTTTTTTGAAAAATTACCGTTAATTTTGGACGTTATAAGTGAACGACCGCTTATTTTTCCCGAGAATAAGGAATTTCTATGATTCTTTGAAATGGGATTTGAACCTTGATTCGCATAAATGTATCAGATTATTCCAAACTTATTCATTCAAAATTGATTGCAATTTTCCATTCATCTTTTCACTCAAAAGTTCCAACAAAACAAAAATCAATTAATAACTGATAAAGTGACTCAACGACAGGTGTAATTACATGCCTGATTACACATTTATCACAAGTATAGATTACAATACATTTCTCTTTAATGTCTCTCTATTAAATATCACCGTATTTCATTTCATATTCCAAAAAAACAACGCAAAAGAGGCTCATAAATCTTGCGAACTAATTAAATTCACCCGAAAAGCAGCATAAACAGCGACACCGAAATAAAAGAGCTGAGTTGTTGATACGTTTAATAAGTTCTTATCAGTTTTATTGCCGCACACAAAAATGAATAAACGAGGCGGACACTTTTATGATGATCATATTGTACTTATGGAAATGAGTTAAAGGATTTAAATATTCTCATAAAATGTGTATGATTAATAAATTTCAGTTTATTTTTACATTCATCGATAAGCTTAAAAAAACTAGAGACCTGCCTTGACTTGCTTACGAATTCATGAATAATTGTGATAGAAAAAGTGTGATAATACAAGTTGGGAATTTGCATTCAATTGAATATTATGATACTTGCCGTTTTTATTATTGTTGGTACTTCTGTTGTCTGTTGTTGTCGTTATTGGGGTTAGAGAGAGGAAAAACTTGGGAAGTGATGAAAAGTTTATGGAAATTTATGCAAAGAGACGGAAGGTAAAGTTGAGTTGGAGGTTTGTGCTGTTTTTTCCAAGTATTGACGCTGTTTTTGAATAATTCGGAAGGAGCATCTGATGTATTTGAATCTAGGAGTGCGTTTGTTTGGGTCAGAGAGAGCCAGCAATGGTCAGCAAGTATCAGCATAACAAATTTTACGTTCTGAAGCATTAAATTACTTTTCTAATAAGCCAATTTAACAAACAAACCATAAAACTTAAAAGAATCACTATTTTGGTTTTCCTCCTAGTCCAGAAAAATGATTCGCGACTCAAAACTCAAGAACAGAACTTCTTAAGCCAAGCACACTCAAAAAAAATGTTCTCAAATCCACCCAAACTGCTCAAAATTCTATCAACTCACCTCCTTAAAATATTCCAGCTTACAAAACAAAAAATTCAAGAGCACTTTTGTTGCCGTACTTAACATAATCCACAAATGTTGCATTTGGACGTTAAAACATTATCATAAGTAAGTGGAAAAGATAGAATGAAATGAGAAATTTATTGAAGTCTTTCGGTCGCGCAATGCAGTAAACAGAAGCACAGCTGAAAAGTCTCCATCTAGAAACAGAAGGAGAAATTAATGCACAATCGCAAACAATAAGCAATTTTGGACAAATATTTATGAATGAACAATTGAATTTTCCGCAGTGAATGCAAAAAAAAAGTAGACAGAACAGAAGGAACAAAACAAATTCAAGTATCAAAAAAAAGAAGGTTGCATATAAAGGCAATCGTTTTAAGTCTGAGGGAATTAAGAGAAAACCATTGAGGAATTTTGAATAATTTTTATGTACAGAATACTTATTTATGTGTTTTATTATGTTCGAACTACTTGACATATATGGTAAGTGTGTGTGATAACATTTATTTCGCATTTGCATTGAATATAATAACAGCAGTTATTGAAAAGAAGCTGGATAACAAACAAAAGTTAAGAGTTGCATCTTTTGTCAGCACATTCTTTGGCAATGACATAGTAAATATATGCGAACGGAAGAATAATATAATAGAAGCATTGCAGGTAAGTTGATGGTTTGAATGAAGTTTAGTAATGGAAAAAAAAAGATTTTATCAGATTTGATTTTACAGGAATCAAAAAAAATGAATTAAAATATTGACGAATTTAAATTTCAGATGAAAATGAGAGATTCGAACTCGAATATTTTTGTGATTTTCAAGCAAACTTATTTCAATGTTCAGTGTTCGTTTTGTAGTTTAAGTATCTTATTTAAATATTAATTAAGTCATTAATTTTAGGCTGATACGAGACTGAATAATTTGAGAATTTTGACCTTTAAAGTTTTGAAGAAAACTTGTGAAAATGTCTTATTTGTCTGTCTGCCATGCAAAATTCGAAGTTTCGCACCCTGATTTCGAAAATTCGGAAAGAACAAAAACTAAAATTAAATTAGTTTAACATGAAATGAACAAAAAAAAGCTATGATTTTCATAAAATTAACGAATAACTCTAAAAAACCATTTAAAATTGTAACGGTTTTTTTGCAATTTGAATTTTTCGAACAAAAATATAAAGACAGCTCGAGACTTTCGAAAAGTTTATCGAACATGAATTGTTCGTATCAGATTCTAGGTTTGAAGTTTCAAATTATTTAAATTTCATGGCTCTCCATTTTTGATATTAAGCTGATGCGTCGATGCATGCATAATTCAATACAACAACATATCAAATATAATAATTTAAAAGAATTAATAAAATTCCCTCCAAAAAAAATAGTTCAATTCACATCGAATCGATTAATTAAATTTTTTTTAATAAACTCCGTCATGAAACAATTAAAACAAAAATTAAGCAACAAAAAGTGATATTTTTTGTTAATAAAAACTTGTAATTGCAATATGTGGTTAAATTGCAATTTGACGAGTTATTAATTTCTAGTCAATCAATGAAACAAGTTGCACAGCCACGTACGAAAAAAAATTTTTTGTGTCATAATTCCCCATTTCATATAATGACATGAGGTTGAAACAGCATCATTAATTTTCATTTGTATCGATTTACACGCAGAAATGTTATAGAATGTGCGTCTCGTATGGATGTTGGGAAAAATATTTTGTCGTCATACTGCTAATGACATCATATTATTCAATGACATTTGTCACCCTCGATTTCTTCACATTTCACTCATTTATTGTCAAAACTCGCACAATATTTTCTGCCATTCGTCCTCAAAAAATATTAAAATTAAACCCGCAACAGCTCGATACAATTGTGT